CACGGCCAAAATCACCTTCTTCGTAAGCCAGCTCAAAGGTAACGCTCTCCGGTGGGCTCACTCGTTCCTCTTGAGTCATGATAACCCCCCTGCTTCCTATGCACTTTTTCTTCGAGAGTTTCGTAGGATTTTTGACCGTCCCCTGCAGACATCAAATGCCGCAAAGCGGTTGTTGAACTTACGACAGGGCCGTCGTAATGCCTCGGAGTTCGCTCTGGAGTTTCGGATCCTTGCTGCCCAAACAGGATGGGACGAGCCCGCCCTCCAAGGTATTTTCCTTAACGCTCTGTCTGATTTTCTCAAAGACCAGCTGGCCACGCGAGATGAACCCGAGACTTTCGACAAACTGATAGACCTTGCCATCTCAATCGATGACCGTTTCCGGGAGAGAAGGAGAGAGGCAAACTACAATTCCCATCGACCCTCGACTTCCGGGTTTTCAACTCCTCCAGGTGAGCCCAAGCCTGCACCTCAGCACTACGTTTCCCATAATCCTCCCACTTCCGGGTTTACGACCCCTCGCTATGCGTCTGTTTCACCAAAACAATCCCCTGTGAACTACAATTCCCAGTCTTCCTTGCTTCCTGGCCACAGCCAATCATCTTCTTTTCCCTCACGGGATCGCTCCCCCCAGCCTATGCAGGTGGGGCGCGCACGGCTGACTCCTGCAGAGAGACAGCGGCGTGTATCTGCCCGTCATTGCATTTATTGTGGTAATCCCAGTCATTTTCTGACCCACTGTCCGTTTCGGGGAAACGAGAACTTCCACCAGTAAAGCGGGAGTTACTGGTGGGAACGTCTGCGTTAACCTCCCCATTCAAACTATTGCTTCCCATGGTCATTCAGACACATAATTGCCGTTTTTCGTTTTCAGCTCTCATCGATTCAGGTGCTGAACAGAACTTGATCAGCGCCGACTTAGTTAAAGAATACTCATTACCTACTCGTGAGATCCCTTCGATTTCTGTCTCTGGCTTAACCGGAGACACTCTGACCCGTATTAAATTAAAGACTACCGAGTTGCATGTTATTATTTCTGGAAATCATCATGAGATGACTGATTTCTTTATATTTAATTCTCGAACCCCCCAAGTAATTTTAGGTTTCCCCTGGCTTCGAAATCACAACCCAGTAATTAACTGGGAGCGCGGCTGCATTGATAAATGGAGCGACAAGTGCCTCAGCAACTGTCTTCGCTCCGCCATTAAAGAGTTCCCTCGGGACGCGCCTCCTCTAGAGGAGATCGACCTCACCTCGGTTCCTGCTGAATACCGCGACCTGGCAGCTGTTTTCAGTAAGCAGCGTGTCTCGTCTCTTCCTCCTCACCGTCCCTATGACTGCTCGATTGACTTGTTACCTGGCGCCCCCTTGCCGTCAAGTAGACTTTACAACCTTTCTGGTCCTGAAAGAGAATCTATGTCCAATTATATTAATGAGTCTCTTGCCTCTGGCATTATTAGACCTTCAACCTCCCCTGTGGGAGCTGGTTTTTTCTTCGTTTCCAAGAAAGATAAATCACTCAGGCCATGTATTGACTATCGCGGTTTGAACAATATAACTATTAAAAACAAATATCCTCTTCCCCTCATTGATTCTTTACAAGAACAATTACAGTAGGCCTCTTGTTTTACCAAACTCGATTTGCGAAACGCGTACCACCTCGTCCGTATTAAAGAGGGCGACGAGTGGAAGACAGCTTTTCGTACCCCCTTGGGCCATTTCGAGTACTTAGTTATGCTTTTTGGGTTGACCAATGCCCCCGCTGTTTTTCAGGCGCTCGTTAATGATGTTTTGCGCAATTTCATTGGTAGTTTTGTGTTCGTTTACTTGGACGACATCCTTATTTATTCCCGCGACCCCGCTCAACACACGGCCCACGTTCGCACGGTCCTCAAGCGGCTGCCGGAGAACCAGTTATTTGTTAAAGCAGAGAAGTGTGAGTTTAACACCTCCACTGTCTCATTCCTTGGTTTCATCTTTGAGGGAGGTCGTTGCCGAACCGATCCAGAGAAGACCAGGGCGGTCGTCGACTGGCCGACCCCCGAGTCCAGGAAGCAGTTACAACGCTTCTTGGGCTTTGCAAATTTTTATAGGCGATTTATCAAAAATTATAGCCGTGTCGCCGCCCCCCTGTCTCAGCTCACCTCTACTGCCCGTGCCTTTCATTGGACCCCAGAGGCCGAGACCGCCTTCACAAGACTCAAGTCTCTCTTTTCCTCTGCGCCCATCCTTTGCCATCCGGACCCTATGCACCAGTTCATCTTGGAGGTAGATGCCTCCGACACTGGGGTAGGAGCGGTCCTTTCCCAGCGATCTCCTCACGACAATAAGGTCCATCCCTGCGCCTTCTTCTCTCAGCGTCTCTCCCAAGCAGAACGCAACTACAACGTGGGCAACCGCGAGCTGTTGGCAGTCAAGCTCGCATTAGAGGAATGGCGGCACTGGTTAGAAGGCACTGAGACACCTTTTTTGATATGGACTGACCATAAAAATTTAATTTATCTGAGGAACGCCAAGTGTCTGACCCCCCCCCCCCCGTCAGGCTCGT